CAGGCACTGCTTACTACCAGAGCATTTTATTTTTCCAATATAAGAAAAAAAGAAAAGAAAAAGACACTTCTACTTTGGTTATTGTTGTGCTCATGTAAACAGCACTGACAATCCCAATCCCTGAGGTGGAAGCTAGCTCAGAGCCTCATGGAAGAGATGGATCTTTTCCAACTGCTGAATATAAACCACAGTAGCAGGTATAATAATTGCAAATAAGAAGTCCAGCAAAAAAGGGACAGACTAGACTTACTTAGAACAATCCAATGTGCTCTATTAAACAGACTTTTCTGATAACATAAGATAGCTGAAACCTCATCTTATCAAGGTCTGATCTGCTTTATGTCATTCTTAAGTGCTCATGCTTCCTTTTCAAGCTATTATACTTATTGTCTAACTTACAGCAATACTAAGGGGGTCACATCATAATAATCACAACATGATGATGATTTATAATATGAAGAGATTGTCTAATGTGGAGAGTTACACCCTCAGACATATAGGCAAACTTAGCATAATGTTTATAGAGGGCACAGGCAGTGATTACATTTGAAGACTTGGCATACTGAAGTTCCACATGCAGATTGCAGAGGACTGAGGTGAAAATAGGAGCGTGTCCTAAGGGCTCGTGCTGAATCAGCACTTTTAAGGAGCTGGCTGACACCCTCGCATGCAGTAGCACAACGGACAGTATGACACAAAAGGACAGCTTTATTAAACGTTTTCTGACACATTTCAGAAATCCCTGTGTGTGTTTTGTGTGTGTGTTGTTTATCAGACGGATGCATTGGCCTGGAAGTACAGTTGTCATATGAGGTTAATCTTGTGTGAAATAGGTGAAGTGTGCCTCTACCAATTGGCATAGGATCATAGGAGTGACAAGTGTATTTACAAGTCCATGCTGTTTGTGATTGCCATTTTGTAGGGAACATTATCTGGCTCTGGAAAGCAGGTGTGCAGGTGTATTCAAAAACAATCTACAAAAGAGCTTCTTTGAATGAAAATGAGAGCCATTATACATATAATAGTATACTAATTTAGAGAAACACAATGCCTGATTTAACAAGGGACAACGAATGGTGGCTTGAATTCATCTTGGCTTCCAGCGAGCTGCTGCAGCACTACAGTATGTTGATTTTACCCTTTTGATTTAACTGTTGCAGTATTTTGCTGCAGTTATCTTGGGAGTCCAGGGCATATCAACTGTATTTCAGCTTTGCTCCTGGACTCTAAAATACACAATGCTGGACTGTGTCCATCCTATTCCTGTGACATATTTTCTGAATGTAGTAATGTTGTGTGTTTGGTTGTTTCACCAATACATACCCTACAATTATGCAAAGTTAATAAAATGCCTTACACTTTATTGTTTTAGAAACCGTCTGGTCTACTGTTTGTCTTTGATTTGGGAAGAAGTCATTGAGCCTCTGGCAAAAAATGTGATGTCAGGAGAAAAAGCTAAAAAGAGGGATAGCTTAGAGCGTTTGCTAAATTAATTAAGCAAAACAAAATAGAAAAGAGAGAGACTAAACTTCTGAGTCTGACAACAGGATCCTGAGCACTTACCCTCTGAAATTGTGAACAGGGGCTTGACAACCTGTCATCTACTACCCGGCAACACCTATAATAACTCAGAGAGCAGGCTGCAGGAAGTAGTGCAGACTTGGAAACTGCCAGTTATTTGTTGTGGTTTTTGGAGAAAGCATAGAACACACCGTGATGGAGATACCAGATTTGATGAAGTCAGATCTGTAGATGTCAGTTTCTTTTTAGTTTTCAAACTGAACAAATCCGACACAATATTTAGCTTTCAAATGATGCTTTTGATTGATGACTGTGGAGAGGGCGTGTGGGTTTAACCGAACCAATTTAAGACTCTCTGACTGAATTGATGCCAGCCTCTATGACAATCACTCATAGAACTCAACAGAGCTTAGGCTTTAAAAAAACCTAGCTTCACATATGTTTGTCTTGATGATTGCAAAGCTGTCAGACAACTTAAGACTATTTGGATTTGAATGCATGTTTGTTTGGGTCATATATAATATGTTTTGTAGTACATAGTACATACCCTAAGCTAGCTCTGCCTCTTCCCTTCTGTCTGACTTGTCAATCACACGCTTGATTCATGGGGTGGAAGTTTCACCTTGTTTCAAGCTGTTTTCTGTTGCCACAATTCATTCAACAGGTTAAAACAAGCATGCAATCACTAAAATTCCCTTATGGTCTCTCTCGAAAACTAGACCCACGTAACAATGAGATTTCCTGTATAAGTAGAGTTGACAAACAGAGAATATACTGCAATGAGTTCTCAAGACCAACAAATGTGAACAACTAATCTGCAGCCTCAGATGAACCCATCAAGTATTTACAATTTTCCCTGAAAGACATCAACACTGATTGTGCTCATTAGAAAAACACCCCAAAGTTCACCACCCTTTCTTCACATTTGAGTTGTCTTCTTCTCTCTCTCCTTGTTAATACTAGAATATTGTGGCTGTTCCTGCTCGCAGGTTAGAGTCACAGCTGTTCATTCTAAGGGCTTATGACATTTTGTTTTGCCCTGAAACTACATGCTAACTCAGACTTATTTTTTCTATTGTTTTGTTTGTGGCCCTTTGTTTCTCCAGTTTATCAAACAGTACTGAGTATCTATTATCACAGGACTGATTTTGGCTCATTGTTTCTCTTAGCCAGAGTAACATAAATGACTCTTGTTGAAAGCGATTCAGCTCTCTTCACCAGTACACAATCATCCCTTGTAATTAAGTGCAGAACGGTTAAAAGAAGCGCATGATTACCTGATGTTTGTATGTGACTGATTCAAATCAGTGACTGCAGAATACCATTTCATTTAGTCAGAAAAGTGCCCCTGTTTTGCTTTCACATCATTTCAAAAATAAGATCAGAGTCGATTTTTGTTGTATATCACTGAATGTTTTAGAATGTTTATTTTATTGTACTTATGTGTGAGCACAATTAGCTTCTTCTCCTGACATTAATTTACTGAAGTGCTTCACACACATGCCACAAACACACTCACATTGGATGAAATACATTGCTTTGTCAATGCAGTATTGACATGTGTGTTTGCTGTAAGTGATTGGCTGTCAAACATAGTGTGTCTGCAGGTTTGGTCCTTGATTCTCTGTAGTACCTTCATGTCCGCCATTTTGCACAAAGACTGTAAACACAATTGGATATTCTTTTATGAGTCTTTATCTCGGAACACAGGGTGGATTTAGATATGTTTTAACTCCCAATACCATGTCTTTGTATAGCCCAATTCTCATTGTTGGTTAAACACTTTTTTGCCTGTTTTTTTGAATACTTAATACTACAAACACTGGAGTAACATTTAAACATACTATATTTGTTTATTTAAGTCCTGTAGGCCATGATGCTGTTGGCTGTGTAAATTGATTACAACACCTACGACAAACTAATTTGCTCTCAATAAATGTATGCATCACTTAAAATGAGACCACAGGTAGCCTACCCTTGAGTTGAGGAGATAGGGAGTCTGTTTTTGTGCAGCCTTGCCTCAGGCTTGTTAAATTGGCAGATCGATGATGCTTTAAATCAATGTTCCAGCAATACCACAAACCCCATGGAACCCATTAGTGAATTAAGATAGACCACTGTTTCACGCTGGGTCCTGTTCTGCCTGCAGGTCCTTTCCACATGACAAATGGGGGGGGAAACTGTGAAATAAAACAAAGGGAAAAGGGCAAATGAGAGGGTGAGAACAAGCTGTGGGAGAGAAAAGGTTGACAGGAAAGGCCGAGGTCAACGCTGCCTGTAAGGACACACCTGTAGCTTTTGTTGCAGAGATGAAAAAAAAAATGTTCTCTATCTATAAAGAAAAAGTCTCATATCCCACCAACCAATGCTTCATGATTCCTTCTGAAAAGAGCATCCAGTGAGCCCTGAATAACATGCTCTACATGCAAAGTAGTCTGTGTCACCCAATAAACTGGAAAGGGAACAGAGTAGGAAGAGATGTGAGCGATGTATGAGAGCAGATGAGACAGAGGGGGTGTGGAGAGAGAATGCCAGGGGAGCCGGTCTTTCTCTGATAGCATTGTTTATGTGCCACTGTCTGTGCATCATTGATCCATTCGTCTTCATTACGTCTCCCTGTGAGAACTATTAACTGCTGCCACCCTCAGTTGGGGTCCTGCAATGTTGACATGCACTGCACGGCCTCTCTACCAGCCCACAATTGTCCCTGCCACCTCTCCTCTTTGAGATAGACGCTGACAGTTTTATCCTGATTGTGGGAGAAAAAATTGCATTTATTGAATTAGGACAGGCATTCATTGTGTACAAGGTACTTTGTTGATAAAGGATCAGGTACGGGTATCTTACTACTATAGACAACGTGTAGTGTGTAACTGCCATCTTAGCGGTACCAGTGTAGTTGGTTTCTATATGTTTCCACATGCCTTATTATGCATGCTTTATTCTGACCCATATAATCTATGTTGCATAATAATGAGTCAAACATCCACCCACTCCTTCTCATGAGAAGCATAGTTTCATTTTTCTTTCAGAGTATTTAGCACAGTATATGAAATGTAAGCACAGGCAGGAAATAAATCCCTGTTGGTTTGTTAAAATGTGTAGCTAGTTCAGGCCAAATGGTGAGTCCCTGCCTAATGCACTCATACTTGGAAATGTCCCCTAAGAGACTTTGTGCTCCAGTTCTTGTCTGAACTGTTAGCATTGTCTATGCAAAGCATGTTGTTGTCGTCTAACTGCCTGAGCCCAGTGAGACATGGTGGGTCATCAGCAGCAGCTTGAACCCCACGACTCTAATCGCATGCCAAGATCACTTTCACCACGTTGTGTCAACTCATAGCTTCTCTCCACTTGTGAAATCTCACAAGTTTGACTTGTACTTGCTGTACAGTGTTACTTTTGAGTAAATATGAGACAAGCTGTCTAATAACTGCTTGATATTTCTCTGTCCTCTGTCTGTCTTTCTACTCCTTTCACAGAATCAACCACAGATCTGGCCATCATCCTCATCACTGTCTCGTTTGAGCCAGAAGAAAAAGAAAGACGAGCATGGTCTGGTGTGGGGGCCGGTGTTGCTATGCTTGAGGGAGTGCTGTGGCGTCAATGGAGACCGAAGGCTATCGTGACCTCCTGGAGACCAGCGATGGTCAGGGGGTAGGCCTGCTGGATGGAGGAGGTGAGGTGGGGGTGGAGGAGGGCTGGAGCACGCCCTACCCCCTGGGCTTCCAGGTGTCTTTGACCACTGTGCTGCTGCTGGAGCTGGTGTTGGGCTTCAGCAGCAACCTGACGGTACTTGTGCTCTACTGTGCTCAGTCCAACCTGGTGGATTCAGTCAGCAACCTTGTCACAGTCAACCTCCACGTTCTGGACATACTGGTATGTCTGTTGTGTCTGCCACTGACTGTGGCTGTGATCCTGCTACCAGCCAATGAAAGTGGAGTCGGCAGCCTGGCCACGCTGTGCTGCTTTCACGAAGCCTGTGTCACGTTCACGAGTGTGGCCACAGCAGTCAATGTGCTGGTGATCAGTTTGGACCGATACGACATCTCCGTGCGTCCAGCCAGTCGCCTGCTGACCCCAAGGCGTGCAGCTCTGCTCCTGGCAGCAGTATGGGCCGTTTCCCTTGCTGTCTTCTTCCTGCCCTTCCTTGAGGGGAATTTCTTCTCTTCGTTGGTTGAGGACAGTGAGGATGAGGAGCCAAAAGGGCAGAACAATGTCTCTGAGTTCACCACTAGATTGACCAACATGTTTTCCTCAATCTCTCCTTCCTCCATCTCTCCTTCTTCCATCTCACCTTCCTCCATATCTCCTTCCTCTTTTCCATCAACGCGTCCTTCTTCCTCTTCACACCACCTGACTGCAGAATGGCAGAATAGGACATTGCTGTGCGTAGGAGGGCAGGGGTATTATACAGGACTGGCTATGTATTACCACTTGTTACTCCAAGTGCCATGCTTCTTCATCGCCGTGGCTGTCATGTTATTTACCTACTCAAGGATCCTGCAGGCCCTCAACATTCGCATAGGCTCCCATATGATGAGGGGTAAGCGGGCAAAAGACTCCACCTGCAGAATACGCTGCAGAAGGCGTAAAAAGAAGGACCTGAGTCTGCCAACCGAGGTAGTGTCCTCCAACCAGAACAAGAACCAAACCAATCCAAACACTCCTACACCAACATCGCCCCCGCCACTCCCCTCCATGCCCCAGGGGATTTCTGACAGTGGAGCAACAGTCACTACTGTCAGTACTGCTGCCACCACCCCCATCGCCACTACACCGGCCAGTCTTGCTTCTCCACCTCCAGCTTCAGCCTCATCCCAGCCCCATGCCAACTCACCACTGCCTGCCTCCACCATGGGTGTACAGGCCTCGGTTTCTGCCATCATCGCCTTGAGGCGGGCAGTGCGTAGACACAGGGACCGTCGAGAACGTCAACGTCGCGTCCTTAAAATGTCCCTACTCATCATATCCAGCTTCATGGGCTGCTGGGCCCCTCTGTCTGCAGTCAACATCCTGATCCTGTGCATGGGACCCAGCGACAGCCTGGTGCGGCTGCGCCTCTGCTTCTTGGCGATGGCTTATGGAACCACTATTTTTCATCCTCTGCTCTACGCTTTCACCAGGCAAAAGCTGCGCAAGGCCCTAAAAACACGTGTAAAGAAAAGGGTAGTTTCCCTTCTGCAGGTGGACCCGGCTCCCAGCGGGGGGACAGTTATTCACAATTCCTGGGTGGAAGGTGGAGGCCAGAGGAAGAATCGCAAGCCACGAGGGGAGGCCAGTGATTGCACTGATCGATGCCTCACAGAGGCAGTGAGGGAATAAGTGTGTGTGTGTGTGTGTGTGTGTGTGTGTGTGTGTGTGTGTGTGTGTGTGTGTGTGTGTGTGTGTGTGTGTGTGTGTGTGTGTGTGTGTGTGTGTGTGTGTGTGTGTGTGTGTGTGTGTGTGTGTGTGTGTGACCAATTTGCTAGGGATGGTTTGTGTGTATATTCATTCATGGGTATGAGAAATTCCAGTTAGTTTACAAAGGTCAGGACAAATCCCATGACCACTGGCTCCATGTATATGTGGAGACAGGTGAGCCCCATGCTCTTATTAGAGCCTGCTTTCTGCTCTACTTACAGAGGCCCTCATTAGTCCACTTTCTGACTGACAGCAAGGCCCATGTGTCTCCATGACTACACTGGTCAAGCATTTTGACAACTTCATAGTCCTGGCCAGTAAAACTACTAGTGAGCACGCTACTTGTAGGATAAGGGTTAGACTACAGCAAATGCATACATTACTGTTTTGGCGTGCAATTTCAACATGCATGTGCATGTAAATATGCACATAGTAACAGGTATTCACACATACTCACACTTACATTGCACACTGATCTATATTCAGTCATAATCTGTGAAAGCACACCAATATCTACCTGCACAGATACTCTCAGTGAGATAAATATTAATGGGAGTCTATATTTCTCTTTTTTTCCCTCATTTGTTCATGCCTTAATTGAGTTATTAATATATTCTTGTGGTGCTGAATGTCTTCTGTATGTTTACAAACATGAATTGGAGTGAAACTGTTTGCACATACTGTATATGGTATAGCAAATTAATTGCAGGTAAATACAAGCATTCAGATTCAAAGTTTACAAGCTCATATATAACTACCAGGAAACTGCAAAAAAAATCTAATTTTGTTTCCAGTAACCACCATGTTTCAAATAATGTGTGCCGTTTAAAGCTAAAAAGGCATGACTTTATTATTTTGTATTAAATAAACTTGAGGAGCAACAGTCATGATTGGTGAAAGCGAGGATGTGCGATTTTGCCTGCATGTATGCATGAGTGTTTGCGTGTGTGATGTATAAGGAATAAATGAGCGTGTGTCTGTATATCTGTGCAATAATTAATAAAAGCAATGACCCCTAGGATGTGAACAAAGAGAATATGAACACTGAACTGTTGGTTTTCTACTTAAGGTTTAGATTACTGGGGAAAGAGAGAAGAAAGGGGACTTTATCTTCGTGATATAAAACAAGAACACTTTGAGCAATTGTAACTACAGAGGCAACTGTAATCTTAATGAAATTGTATCAGTTCAGCTTTGAAGTAAATATCAAAGGGCCACATTTTTCTGAAAACTTAATTTAAACTGTCAATTGTAGTCACTGCAGGTAAACTAGCATATTTTACAAGAGAAATCCCATTATGGGGCCAAAACACTTCCGACATGGGACATCTCCTCGTGTTAGCTGTTTGTTTCTCTGGACTCACTGCTTTTTGAACAACACTTTGAACGACTGCAGAGGCAGAAAAGCCTCTCTGGACTGAGTCCTGGACATGTTACATGATATCCGTGTCTCTCTTTCTCCTCAGGGTTTCATGTCTCATTTTCCAACGGGCTGGACATAAAATAAGAAACCCGCCCTCAATCAGCTGTTGTATAAAGGGTGTTACAGAGTGTAAAGATTTATGTAAGTTAGTAGATAGAGTACACTTTCAACTTTTATTGGCTCTTGGAGAGCGTCTTTGGGATTTGGGCTATCTCCTTCATCCTCACCTCTTTTACACAATTTGTGAGCCAGACAAAAGACAATAATTATTGTGTATTCATGTACATTTTTCAGGGATGTAAATATTGAAGTGTCTGTTTTGGGTTTTAGTCAAAGAATTTTTTTTTCATTTGGTCACAATCATCTGCCGGACAGAAAATCAGCCATTGTGATAAACAAGTGAGTTGGAAAGCAACTGTAAAGAGAAGATACATGTAATTGTATTTGTGTTAATACTATATGTGTGTACACTGTACTGTACATTGATGACCATGTGTATAAAGAAATATTAGTATTGTATAAGATTTATATTATGTGTTATTGTATAGAACAGAACACAATCTGTATTAAAAGATAATCTCTCTAAGAATGTATCCATCTCCGTCTCAGTTCATACGTGTTTTATCTTCGATGTATTGGTAGACGAAAATGTATTTTCTTGACATATGTGCATTTTATCTGCAAAAATTCTGGAAAGAAAGAAAAACGTGTAAATAGCTGTCTTTTTTCTTCTTTCTCTGAGCTTAAAGACACAGAATAGAGATGAAAAATAACTAAAGTATTACAAAAGAAGACGTGTTATTATGAATAATGAAAACAAATAATTCAACGAACACTTCCTAACATGTTATAAGTACAGTCTTAATAAATAAGAAAACAAAAAAAATCCCCTTTTGTATATATTGATCTCAATAAATACATAGTTTTCCTCCTACAGTACCTTCAGTGCTGTATACCAATCTAGATTTATGTGGTGTGAATTGCCAGGAGTTAGAGATATTAGCAGTGGGGATGTCTGCCTTCTCTTTAATATAATAGAAATCATGTTACTCAAGGTCAAAATAATCCACAGACCTTGCTGAGAGCAGTTTGATGTAGGAAATATTTAATCTTCCAAAGTGTCACTGAGCAGAAGGAAGGGTGTCCTGGATGAGAGTCTTGTGACAGCCCCAGGTGTAAATATTAATGGCGCCCTCCTCGGCTAAGCTGTAGTGATGGTTAGGCTAGGTCAGCTCAGGTGAGCAACTCGTTCAGAAGTAGATGCATGCTCCCTTTGGTGCAGTGATAGAAAGAAAGCAGCTCCCGGAGCTCCTTGGTCTGTGGATTATCTTGAGTAACTGGGTCATGATTTCTGGAGAGAGAAGTATTTGTTTAAATGTATTTTTGGGGCGATTCGACCACCACAAGTAAAGAACAAGCAAGTCTCATTGTACAATTGGCTTCAATTTTGAGTAAGAGATCATTTAGGTAGAACGTTTTGTCACAGGCTCGTAGCTGCAGCTGTATTTCTACAGTCCTAACAAGAAACTGGTTATTTTCTTCGTGCTCAGTGTAAGGAACTCCTCCATCTCTTTTCCTCTGGACCGTATTGTCCATATCTGTCACTCATTTTTCCTGTCATTCATCTCGTGTTTGCAATTCCAGTCTCTCTGATCCCTAACTTGAGAAGCTCCGTCCCAGATCCTTATTTATTGTTGACTGTATAGCGAACCCTCGCTGTGACGTTTCAACTGTGCTAATCACCAGTGCTAATGAAGATAAAACTTGTTAGTCAGGTAAGCATCTGTTGAGGCAAACAAATCTGTGTGCTTATGTGGCCTGTGTCTCTGTGTGTGTTGCCTCATTGCTTAATGCAGTGAGTCAACATCATGGATTTCTCCATTCTACTTTATAATCTCAAATCCCCTCCTCTTTTATTCCTTCATTTCCTTCATGGTTCTCCTTCCCTTTATTCCGTCGGTCGGCATCTCTCTCATATCTTATCCACACTCAGGCCTTCCAGAACAAAGCGAGGAACAGCTGCAGTGTCTGGGAAGGAAGGAAAGTCACCTTGGGGGATGACAGAGGAACAAAAACGTGAGAGAGGAGAAAGAGAGAGAGAGAGGGTGAGTGAGAGAAAGATAATTGAGGGGAGATTGGGGAGAGAAGAAAGAGGAGAAGGGAGGCATAGAAGCTGGCATCGGGACATATGACTAATAAAAGGACAGCACTGCATCACTGAGTCCCATAAAAAAGGGAAAAACCTAGTGCAGGATGATAAGATTAGTGAGCGTTACTGTTTTCTACCACTGCAGTATTGCATGACTGGCCCAGTACAGTCATGCACACTGCCTCTGCCTTTCCATCAACTGTGAAAATGTTTTGGGTGTCATCCAAAATGCACACAAGATGGCCAACAAGTAAGTATTTATAGTCTCGTCGATATTTTGTGATTTATGGGTCAACATTCAACCAGTGACTTCAGAATTGCATGGGAATAAAGAACACACGAATGGCAGAGTTTAGGGTTCACTTGCCCCAGTTTTTACATTCATATCTTTAAGTAAATCTAAATGTTTTGAAATTGAGTTGCATGTCATCCTTCTTCTCTTTTACCCCACATTAATCTCTTCACTAACAGATAAACAAATGCATTACATGCCTAAAACGGCATTTCGAGAATATTATGTAGTAGTTGGATGCATAGATTGAAACTATGATGAGGCGTGTGGCGCAGTGCGTTGGTGTTCGGATCCGAGGAGCACAGGTTCAAACCATAGACTGTATAGGTAGGTTCATACAGATATGGTTCAAACCTGTAGGGATTGTCCACAGTATTGAGTATGTAAATCGCTTTGGATAAAAGCGTCGAAGTAACATGTAATAATGATTGAAAGCATCTCAACTATGCAAAATGAAACCAAAAAGTGAGACATTATGAAAAAGAAAACAATCTTATGATGATACGAGTTTTAGCAAGCATATATTACCAATAATACAATGCTATTTTTCATAGGTTCAATTTAGTTTTAAGATTCATAGTAGATCGGTATGGTCGACAACGGCGCCATCTTGTGTTAAAACCATAAACTATACATGAAGGTTCAAATATTATCTAGGACGACGACGGTAACTTAAGCTAAACACGGCTAAATGTCGGAGATTGTTTTTTCAATGTATCTATATTTGCGTTGGGCTTTTTCTTCCTTTTTGGAGTCGCGGTCCCCAAACCCAGGTCGAGAGGATCGTTCACTGAGCTAGGTTGCTTGCGTTAGCCAGCTAATGTTGCCGCATATTAGATTGTGGATAGCTATCGGAGGAAAACTATTCAACCTTACAAAATACGAGCTCTGTAAACCTCAGTGGTAGTCACGTTTGTATATATACGACCAAGACCACGCCTGTTTAACGTGCGCCGAAATAGCTCAGTTGGGAGAGCGTTAGACTGAAGATCTAAAGGTCCCTGGTTCGATCCCTGGTTTCGGCAGCAATGATATTTTTTACATTTCAATCAAGGTAAGATCGTCGATGCTATACAAAA